ATTCATTAAACATGTGAACAACATTACAGCCACAGTTTCAGACATCTGATGAAGATGTTTATGTCTGTGTTGTGGGTTACTTCAGAAAAAATACAGGCGAGCTCGGATTGCAGTGATTATTCGTGTTTTTATTTTCCCCAAAGTGCATAAAAATTGGTACAGGCAGTGCAGAGCATATGTACAGTGAATTTAGCAAAAAAAATTGCTTAAATTAGCAATGCAAGATTACAATTTTTAAATTACCAAATCAGATTTAATTCAGCACAATACTTTCCAGCTCAGTAAGAGGAATAAAACAGTTTTTGAATTATGAAAATCGGATAAGTGGTTATGATTTTATTACCATATTGATAAGTGCTTTTAGGCGCTTATAGTGAAAGTAATTTGGTTTAAAACAAAGGGATACTGTGGAACCTTCTATTCAGCCAGTTAAAGCCTTTATTCATCTTCTAAGTGCTGTAACTTCCCTATTTTACTAACTATGAACATTAAAATTCACAGTAAAGAAGGAAACAATTCAGGGATGTTGAATTCGATATTCATTTTACAATTTGGCCGACCCCGATTCCAATATGGCCGCCAGCTTATCCAAGATGGCTGCCAACAGGAAATCCGGAAAACATTTTTTTCAAACTACTATGTAATATATCAAAATAAAGGTAATTGATGGAGCAATCTAAATATGATGCTTAGAAATGTTTTTGGCATATGCACACACACACACACGTGTTATTTATGAGACTAAAGTTACAGACCTCAGCTTTAAACATGTGTTATTTATGAGACTAAAGTTACAGACCCGAGCTTTAAACATGTTATTAATGAGACTAAAGTTACAGACCTCAGCTTTAAACGTTATTAATGAGACTAAAGTTACAGACCCCAGCTTTAAACATGTGTTATTTATGAGACTAAAGTTACAGACCTCAGCTTTAAACATCTTATTTATCAGACTAAAGTTACAGACCTCAGCTTTAAAAATGTGTTATTTACGAGACTAAAGTTACAGACCCCAGCTTTAAACATGTGTTATTTATGAGACTAAAGTTACAGACCTCAACTTTAAACATGTTATTTATCAGACTAAAGTTACAGACCTCAGCTTTAAAAATGTGTTATTTACGAGACTAAAGTTACAGACCTCAGCTTTAAACGTTATTAATGAGACTAAAGTTACAGACCTCAACTTTAAAAATGTGTTATTTACGAGTCTAAAGTTACAGACCTCAGCTTTAAGCATGTTATTTATGAGACTAAAGTTACAGACCCGAGCTTTAAACATGTTAACAACCCAAACACCCTTGTTAACATGTAAAATGGATTAGTCCAACCAATGGCATTGGTCCGTTTGGGCCACGTGACTCGCGTTTCTACCCCCCGGAAAAGTGGACTCGCCCGGACTTGCGTGCCGCTTCGGCAGCAGAGCAGAGTGTGTGATGAGCGCGGCGGTTTTTCAACTTTATTCACTGATCCGCGGGTCAAAACAACCGTGACATGATTCAAATATACCATCATTCTAAAGCTTATAATCTTAGATGTATGTGTGTGGTGTTGGTTTTCCAAATCCCGGTTACTTACCGTGTATTTTGCTATTAAGTTCGTCGGATTATATCTCCGTAACCGCAACAGCTGGAGAGATGCCGCTTTCACCGTAATGCGCAGTAATAAGTGATCTATTTACCCGGTAAATATCACCTCGCGGCGACGTCATTAACCCGCGCGGAATGCCGAGGATATCCCGACTCATTTTTTTTCAGAGTCCAGACTATCTGTTGCCCACTCTGCCTCATATTCGTCAACTTTATTAATTCATATCTCAGGAAATAAACGGAATATCAGAACAATACACACATTTATGGATTCTATGAATAAAAATATGTTTATTGATAGTGGTGGTAGCTATATATTCTGATTATTTAGCTGCTCAGAATCAAATGAACTAAAGTGAGTAAGACAGCGACCTCTTTTCACCACAGCGTTTCCACTGAGTCTTGCATTGCTACTTAAATGTATTTCTAGCCCGCACAGTGTGCACCCCTGGGCGAACTAGTAACTGAGGGAAGAGAAGGACAAGAGTATGGATGATGCGTGTGGATGTTAAGCATTAATGGAACGGAGGGAAAAAAGGGGTGCGCGCGTTTGGAATGGCGTGTGTGTGTGCGTGCAGGTGCGCGTGTGGCGCATGCGGCACTAAAGTCAGCCTTTACTTTAAAACTCAGTCCGCGCACGTAACTACAGACGGACCCGCTCCGTCACATCATCCCTCCCCTCCGGAAGGTCGACACTGTGGGGCAACCTGGACAAGTAGTCCGCTACAATGTTCAGCTTGCCGGCACGGTGTCGAATGGAGAACCGGAAGGGCTGTAGACCAAGGTACCACCTGGTCAAACGGCTGTTGTGATCCTTCATGGTTTGGATGTATGTTAAGGCACGGTGGTCGGTTTCTAGATCGAACTCTCGCCCCAGCAAATAGTAGCGTAAGCTCTCCAACGCCCATTTGATGGCCAGACCCTCTTTTTTGATTGCAGAGTAGCGTGTCTCTCGTGGCTGGAGTTTCCGACTCAAGTAGAGTATTGGCCTCTCTTCTCCCGGCTCCCCCTGAGCCAGAACTGCTCCAAGGCCCACAGCGGAGGCATCCACTTGGACGAGAAAGCGCATGTTAAAGTCTGGACTCTTCAGCACAGGAGACGAACACAGGTGAGCTTTAAGGGTGGCAAAAGCCTTCTCACAGTCCTCGGTCCAGACTACCGGATTTCGCTGGTTCTTGGCCGTGAGTGCGGTGAGGGGAGCAGCGATGGTTGCGAATTGTGGCACAAACCTCCTGTACCATCCTGCCAACCCAAGGAAGGACCGGACTACCTTCTTGGTGCGTGGCCTAGGAGACTGCAGGACCGCTTTGACCTTGTCCACTTGGGGCCTTACTTCTCCTCGACCCATCTGGTAGCCAAGATACCGAGTCTCCTGCCGAGCCCACTCACATTTAGCTGGATTTAGTGTCAGCCCAGCTTGCTCAATCTTCTTCAGGACGAGGGAAAGGTGCTGAACATGGTCACTCCAGGTCTCACTGAAGATAACCACATCATCGAGGTAGGCCGCGCTGCAATGCCCACACCCTTGAAGAACACGGTCCATCAGACGTTGGAACGTGGCTGGGGCTCCATGCAGTCCAAACGGCATCACCCGTAAACTGAAACAGTCCAGCAGGGGTTTGGAATGCGGTGCAGGGCCGTGATGACTTCTCGAGGGGCACCTGCCAATATCCTTTGCATAGATCCAAAGTGGTGATGTACTTAGCTGCCCCAATCTTCTCCAGCAAGTCATCAATTCTTGGCATTGGATATGCGTCAAATTCTGAAAAAGAGTTCAGTTTCCGAAAATCAATACATATCCGGAGCGATCCATCCTTTTTAAAAACAATGACCACAGGGCTACTCCACTCTGAGTTGGAGGGTTCGATGACTCCAAGTTTCAGCATCTCCTGGATCTCATCCTGGAGCTTTCCGATGAGCTGCTGAGGCACACGGTAGGGCCGCTGTCGGATGGGTCTCCCGTCTTTCAGCCGAACGAGGTGCTCCACAATGGTAGTCTTGCCGGGAGTGGCACTGAAGAGGGACGAGACTTCCTTGAAGGTCTGGAACAGCTGGGCAGCTTGCTCAGGAGAGAGATGAGCCAGGATCGGGGTTGCAGCTTTTGTTAATCCCTCTAGTCCGACATCCGGAACATCATCTTCATCGTCCGCTTCCTCCAGCTGTCTGACAAACAGAACCTTTGCCGTTGCTTTCTCAGGCCGTTCCCTCCACTCCTTTAGGAGGTTAACGTGGTAGGTCTGTTTGGGCCTTTTCTTTTCGGGGTGTAGGACTGGATGTGACTGGACCCATCTTGCGCAGCACAGCATACGGCCCCTGCCATTTTGTGAGCAGCTTATTGGTGGATGAGGGTAGAAGGAGTAATACCTTTTGACCTGGCTGGAACTCCCGACGGCGCGCTTGGCGGTCATACCAGGCTTTCTGGGACTTTTGAGCGTCTCGCAGGTTTTCCTCCGCTTCCTCCAAATACTGACAGTCTCTCTCGCATCTCTAAGACGAACTGCACGATGCTGCGGTCATCTTGTTTGGCTGAGGGACCCTCCCATTGTTTGCGGAGAAGGTCCAATGGCCCCTGAACATCCCAGCCATACAGCAGTTCGAATGGGGAAAATCCAGTTGACGCTTGTGGGACTTCCCGATAAGCAAACAAAACAAACGGAAGCCACCGATCCCAGTCTCTACCGGTGTCATCCACAAACTTTTGTAGCATGCGTTTGAGTGTCTGATTAAACCTCTCCACTAGTCCATCTGTTTGTGGGTGGTATGGGGTGGTACGAATAGGTTTGATCCCCAATTGCTGCTGGAAAAGGTGCATCAACCGGGACGTGAAGTTGGTGCCTTGATCCGTAAGAATCTCATCCGGTAATCCAACTCTTGAGAATAGCTGGACGAGAGCTCGAAGAACAGCCGGGGCAGTGATGGTTCTGAGCGGGAAGGCCTCAGGAAACCTGGTCGCATAGTCCGATATGACTAGGATGTACTGGTGGCCGCTGCTGCTCTTCACCAGTGGCCCCACAATGTCCATTGCGATCCTCCGGAAAGGAGTAGACACTACCGGTAGAGGCTGTAAACAAGCACGGTCAGATTTGCGCACAGAACATGTTTTCTGACAACTAGGACAGGTCGCGCAGTACGTTTGGATGTCTGCATACATTGAAGGCCAGAAAAAACGTGAGCTAATGCGCAAAAATGTTTTGTGGCGCCCCAAATGACCCGCCCATGGAACAGTGTGTGCTACGTGCATGACAAGAGTTCTGCAGCTAAGGGGAACAACCAGACGTTTACATTCATTACCCTCACTGTATAGCAACCCATTGTCAATGACAAACCTCTCCCGTCCCAGACAACTCTTTGTATCCTTGCCCACCTTAGCAAACAAACATTTCAATGTTTCATCTTTACGCTGTAACTCACCAACATTGTCGGGCACATTCCAACACAAAGGTAAAACATCTTCAGGACTAGCAGACCACATTTGTTTTTCAAACCGCCTCTGACGGCGGGACTTCTTGGGCCCCTTAGTGCCCCCCTCCCACAGACTACTGTCCAAGTCTGGCAGAGGCTGGACACCTGTTTTTGCCTGAGCTCGGGTTAAAACAGGACATGCCATAGACATAGAACAGTTACTATTCCCCCCAGAGTCACTTTCCTCAGACACTCTTTCGTTCAACAGGTCCATGAGAACTGGTAAATCCCAACCGAGAATAGCATCCACTGGTAAGTTTTCAACCACACCCACACTCACAAGATAGGGCTGGTCTAAGGCAGTCACAGTCACATCCACAGTAGGATAGGGGTGGCTATCCCCATGCACGCACTGAATATCCACAGTCTGGCTGTAATCCGTGCCGCTAACTGGAACTGAGCTACGTTTGATCAACGACATAAAGCTGCCAGTGTCAAGCAATGCTGTAATCGCTTTGCCATTGATCAGTACAGTTTTATAACGTTGCACAGTACCTTCAGCTTCCATAGAGCTCACGAACTCTGGTCTTGGTGGATAACATGCCCCACTAAATTTTGCTTTGCGCACAGGGCACACGGATGCTTTGTGTCCTGGCTGCTGACAGTAACAACAAACAAGATCCTTACCAGGTCCTCGTTGGTTTGGGGTAGAGCTGGTGGTACCTTGCCGATCTGGGTAGCTGTCCTGTCGGGGTGGTCTGGGGAGAAGCGGGTGAGCTGGCCCACACTGAGCTGTAGTGCCGGTCCGGGCAGGTCCGCCTTTGCGCGCGTTGAGGTACTGCACGGCCAACTTTGCAGCGGTGAGTCCATCGCCGGGCTCGCGCTCCTTCACCCAGGTCCGCACCTCGAAGGGGAAAACTCGCAGCAGCTGCTCCTTGATGATTGCCTCGCCGACCTCCTCCGTGGTCCGCTCCTCGGGCCGTATCCAGCAATGATAGAGACCTCTGAGACGATGATAGGTCTCCGTGGGGCTCTCTCCAGATGGTAGAGTAGAGGAGCGAAACTGCTGGCGGTAGGTCTCGGGTGAAATATCAAATTTCGCCAACAGGGCCTCCTTTAAGTCCCGGTAGCAGTGGGCTCTCTCCTCGTCCATGGCAGAGTACGCCTCCAGCGCCTTGCCGCTTAACAGAGGAACGAGTCGACACGCCCATTCATCTTCTGGCCATTTCCAGGTTTTTGCTATCCGTTCAAAACGCAACAGATAGTTCTCCATGTCCTCACCACTCTGGTATTGTGGTATCTTTGGCTCATTATAATGCCTCCAGTCACGTCTGGGTCGGTTTTCAGGGTTTAGAGCTTGGTGCCTTTGCTCCTCACCCTCATCACTCTCATCACCTCCCTGATGAATCCCTGCGTACTGCATTCGCTGGCCAGCAGGGGTCGGTAATCCAATCATTGGGCTCCTGTCGGACAGTGACAATGATGCCTGAGACTGGGCACGTGAAATGGGAAAGTGTGGAACCGGCCGATCTCTTGACAAAGGCGGTGGAGAAGACGGAGGGTTAGACTGAGCATTCCCCAGCCTCCGGAGTTCTACCAGCAACCCTTCTTCCCGGCGTTGCTGTCCAGCCAGAAACTCCCTCATTAACATCACCATATCCTGTCCAGGCTCCGAGAATGGCCCGGGTTTGACTTCCGGTTTCGCTTCCTCTTCGTCCGTTTCCCATGCTGCTCCAGCGCCCCCTGGCTGTTGCACATGGCTCTGAGACCGCAAACCTGTGCGCTTGGGTAGACGAACACTTTTCTTCCGGCTTGCCATCCCACCGCTGCCACCATCTGTCGTGGGTTACTTCAGAAAAAATACAGGCGAGCTCGGATTGCAGTGATTATTCGTGTTTTTATTTTCCCCAAAGTGCATAAAAATTGGTACAGGCAGTGCAGAGCATATCTACAGTGAATTTAGCAAAAAAAACAACAGGTCCACTCGGACACATAGATCACCTTTAATGAGTCCAGGTAGTTACCTCCTCTGTAACCAGCGGCAGACTGACGGGTGCCAGACACGGCTCTCCTTTATAGTCCCCTTTGCTCCTCCCATTGAGCAAAATAAATTATTACAAATAGGACGTATAAACAGAGAATACATATATGGACCCATTCCCTATTGGTCCAACACAAAACCCTATACTCTACAATGAAACATTAGGCCATTATAAGTACATTTAATCTTGGGGACAATTCCCCATGCTCCCAGGGCGCATTTAACCCGCCAGGAAGTATGGTCCTGGTTTGATCCTCGCGCACAGATGCAGAGGAGCGCGACAGACCGGTACGTGTATGAATGTATGCTTAAATGTATTTCTAGCCCGCACAGTGTGCACCCCTGGGCGAACTAGTAACTGAGGGAAGAGAGGGACAAGAGTATGGATGATGCGTGTGGATGTTAAGCATTAATGGAACGGAGGGAAAAAAGGGGTGCGCGCGTTTGGAATGGCGTGTGTGTGTGCGTGCAGGTGCGCGTGTGGCGCATGCGGCACTAAAGTCAGCCTTTACTTTAAAACTAAGTCCGCGCACGTAACTACAGACGGACCCGCTCCGTCACAGTCTGTTAGTAGTTTTATTTCAGTGGGAAGAGCACTCCACAGTCTCGCTTCGTTAGAGCAGTCTCTCCCAAAGTGCGGTCCGCGGCCCACGGGGGACTACAGGGGGGCCGCGAGAGGTCATAAAAAAAATAAAATAAAATGTTTATATAATTATTGTATGTTAAATTAACAATATTTTGTTAGTAATATTACAATATTTGTGTTCATTATTTGACTTGAATCATCAAATTGTAATCATTTGTGTATTACAAAGTGGGGATGGTCATTTACACGTTTGTAGCAGAGGCTATTTCCCCCAAATAAAATAACGAGAAGAGCCTATTTTTAACGTCGTCTTATTATTTCGGGGGGCCGCGCAGACCCGTCAGATTTTTAAGGGGGCCCCAGTGTTACTGACTTTGGGAATGGCTGCGTTAGAGTATAAGCTGGATGTTCTGCTTCTTCCCTTCATGAAATGAATGTGAGTTTGACCGGCCCAGAGAGGCATATAGTGACTCACATGGTTTTTCTATGCTGTTGATAACATATTTCACAAAGTTATCCATTTAAATTAAGGAAAAATTGAATGCCAAAATTGAAATTATAGATGCAACCACGTTTTTGGACTGCGAGGCAAAAGTTGAAATGATGTGGAGTCTTGCTTGGTCCCAGCTGAGAAAACAAGGATAAGGGTCTCACCAGAGTCCTGTCAAATATTCTGTGTGGATCGCTCAACAAAAACTGTGCGGCTACAAATGTGAGTCAATCTCAGGCGGAGGAGGATGAAAAGTGATTGTAACTGCCTGAGGGAGGTAACCGCATCGAAGAGCTGACAAAAATGTGTTGCAACTGTCCAAACAGGAAAGATTGTCTGTTTTATCAATTAAGACAATTCCAGACAATTTATTTTTTGGTGTTATTTAAATGTTACCGTAATTGCGGGGTAATAAGACGCTATTTTTATTCATTTGTTTCTCCTTTGAACCCTGCAGCCTGTATAAAGGTGCGGCAAATGTACGTATTTAGAGAAATAAATAAACTTTTGAACATTATTCTAATTATCCAAGTATCAAGTGCATAAATGTGCTGCAGTTTGGATATAGAGCAGTTGGCGAATGATTGATTACTAAAACGAATGATTGATTATAAAGATATCTGACCAGGCTAGACAAACAGTTATCATCAAGTATTTTTACATAATTATGTGTGTATGCGTGTGTGTACGTATACTGTATGTATGTATTTATGTGTGTGCATGTGTGTGTACGTGTCTATGTGCATATATGTATGTATGTGTGTATGTACGTCTGTCCAGGGCTGGACTGGCCATCGGGCGTATCGGGCAGTGCCCGAAGGGCCAATGCCTAAAAGTTGTGAAAAGTGTAAATCCTATAAGAATTGTTCGAGGGGGGCGCGCATGTCCGCGGAGCACCTGCTGTATGTAAATGAACGGGATTCCGCCAACTCAGCGGCCGCAGTGGTCCGGGGCAGCTGCGGCCACTTTGTAATGAGCGGTTTCCGCGTCCAGGGGCTGTGAGCGGCTGTGAGCATCCAGCCGCTCACAGCTGCTCCACCGTGGTGCGGCTGTGCGCTCACAACACGGTGAGGGAGCAGCCGCAACGTGGCCATGTATAAAGACCATACAGTAAACGTGCACAGGACTATGCGTGTCTTTGCCTAATCTGTGCACCCAATAAATACACCGCTTCAGGAAACAGTCCGCGTCTCCCCTCTCCTCTTGAAGCGTGACTAAACCCCCTAAATTAAAGCTTGGGTAACTAAATTTTCCATTGCATTAAAAGTTAATGTTAGTTTTGCCCAAAAGTAAAAAGTATAATGGCTGACAATATGCATTTCAGACTTTTTTGACCAATTCTCATCCCTGTAACAAACAATAGTGTCTGTGTCCACCTCCCTCACTCTGAGACCTGTTTATTACTCTCTTGTAATGTAGACTATTGCACTTTATTTTATTGTTGAAACTGCATATATCCTGATCCTCTACAGCAGGGGTCCCCAAATGGCGGACTGCAGTCCAGGTCCGGACCCCAAGACCCTTTTCTCTGGACCTCCGTGAATTCTTGTCCAAAAGTACATTATTACAATTATCTGAAAAATGTTCACCGATTTGTAAACAGGCAGGCGCGAGGGCAGCTATTTGGTGAGCGGGGTCCTTTCGGAGAAAATTTTACGGAGCTGTCAAAATAACTTTAGCAGTGTCTAAATCCAGGTGAGACTCAGAGACATGAAAGAGATGGGAATGAGCGCTGTGTACGGAGCGATGGACGCTCACGTTCAGCTGCTCACACTGGCTGCGTATGACCGGAGGAGGAGGAGGAGGAGCGACTCCTGCGTGTGCGCATAGAAGGAGGAGAAAGCGAGACAGAGGTACACATCAAAATCGTATTATAAAAGCTTTAGCAAACAGCTTATGCCCAGCTTTAGTGGATTTTGGGAATAAAATTCCTTGTGTGGAGGAGGAGGAGGTCAGAGTGTGTGGAGGAGAAGGAGAAGGTCAGAGTGTGTGGAGGAGGAGGAGAAGGTCAGAGTGTGTGGAGGAGAAGGAGAAGGTCAGAGTGTGTGGAGGAGGAGGAGAAGGTCAGAGTGTGTGGAGGAGGAGGAGAAGGTCAGAGTGTGTGGAGGAGGAGGAGAAGGTCAGAGTGTGTAGAGGAGGAGGAGAAGGTCAGAGTGTGTGGAGGAGAAGGAGAAGGTCAGAGTGTGTGGAGGAGGAGGAGAAGGTCAGAGTGGGTGGAGGAGGAGGAGGAGGTCAGAGTGTGTGGAGGGGGAGGAGGAGGTCAGAGTGTGTGGAGGAGGAGGAGGAGGTCAGAGTGTGTGGAGGAGGTCAGAGTGTGTGGAGGGGGAGGAGGTCAGAGTGTGTGGAGGGGGAGGAGGTCAGAGTGTGTGGAGGAGGTCAGAGTGTGTGGAGGAGGTCAGAGTGTGTGGAGGAGGAGGAGAAGGTCAGAGTGTGTGGAGGAGGAGGAGAAGGTCAGAGTGTGTGGAGGAGGAGGAGAAGGTCAGAGTGTGTGGAGGAGAAGGAGAAGGTCAGAGTGTGTGGAGGAGGAGGAGGAGGTCAGAGTGTGTGGAGGGGGAGGAGGAGGTCAGAGTGTGTGGAGGGGGAGGAGGAGGTCAGAGTGTGTGGAGGGGGAGGAGGAGGTCAGAGTGTGTGGAGGAGGTCAGATGTGTGGGAGGAGGAGGAGTGTGGGGGTCAGAGAGTGTGTGGAGGAGAGTCAGAGTGTGTGGAGGAGGAGGAGAAGGTCAGAGTGTGTGGAGGAGAAGGTCAGAGTGTGTGGGAGGAGGAGGAGGAGGTCAGAGTGTGTGGAGGAGGAGGAGGAGGTCAGAGTGTGTGGAGGGGGAGGAGGAGGTCAGAGTGTGTGGAGGGGGAGGAGGAGGTCAGAGTGTGTGGAGGGGGAGGAGGAGGTCAGAGTGTGTGGAGGGGGAGGAGGAGGTCAGAGTGTGTGGAGGGGGAGGAGGAGGTCAGAGTGTGTGGAGGAGGAGGAGGAGGTCAGAGTGTGTGGAGGGGGAGGAGGAGGTCAGAGTGTGTGGAGGGGGAGGAGGAGGTCAGAGTGTGTGGAGGGGGAGGAGGAGGTCAGAGTGTGTGGAGGAGGTCAGAGTGTGTGGAGGAGGAGGAGGTCAGAGTGTGTGGAGGAGGTCAGAGTGTGTGGAGGAGGTCAGAGTGTGTGGAGGAGGTCAGAGTGTGTGGAGGGGGAGGAGGTCAGAGTGTGTGGAGGAGGTCAGAGTGTGTGGAGGAGGTCAGAGTGTGTGGAGGAGGAGGAGAAGGTCAGAGTGTGTGGAGGAGAGGGAGAAGGTCAGAGTGTGTGGAGGAGGAGGAGAAGGTCAGAGTGTGTGGAGGAGAAGGAGAAGGTCAGAGTGTGTGGAGGAGGAGGAGAAAGTCAGAGTGTGTGGAGGAGGAGGAGGAGGTCAGAGTGTGTGGAGGAGGAGGAGAAGGTCAGAGTGTGTGGAGGAGGTCAGAGTGTGTGGAGGGGGAGGAGGAGGTCAGAGTGTGTGGAGGGGGAGGAGGAGGTCAGAGTGTGTGGAGGGGGGAGGAGGAGGTCAGAGTGTGTGGAGGGGGAGGAGGAGGTCAGAGTGTGTGGAGGAGGTCAGAGTGTGTGGAGGAGGAGGAGGTCAGAGTGTGTGGAGGAGGTCAGAGTGTGTGGAGGAGGAGGAGAAGGTCAGAGTGTGTGGAGGAGAAGGTCAGAGTGTGTGGAGGAGGAGGAGAAGGTCAGAGTGTGTGGAGGAGGAGGAGGAGGTCAGAGTGTGTGGAGGAGGAGGAGGAGGTCAGAGTGTGTGGAGGGGGAGGAGGAGGTCAGAGTGTGTGGAGGGGGAGGAGGAGGTCAGAGTGTGTGGAGGGGGAGGAGGAGGTCAGAGTGTGTGGAGGGGGAGGAGGAGGTCAGAGTGTGTGGAGGGGGAGGAGGAGGTCAGAGTGTGTGGAGGAGGAGGAGGAGGTCAGAGTGTGTGGAGGGGGAGGAGGAGGTCAGAGTGTGTGGAGGGGGAGGAGGAGGTCAGAGTGTGTGGAGGAGGTCAGAGTGTGTGGAGGAGGAGGAGGTCAGAGTGTGTGGAGGAGGTCAGAGTGTGTGGAGGAGGAGGAGGTCAGAGTGTGTGGAGGAGGTCAGAGTGTGTGGAGGAGGTCAGCGTGTGTGGAGGAGGTCAGAGTGTGTGGAGGAGGTCAGAGTGTGTGGAGGAGGAGGAGGAGCTATGTTGTGATCAGAGAGTGTGAAGGCAATGACAAAAACATTATTTGATGGAAAGAAGCACTTCAACAAAAAAGTCTGCCAGATCCCCTTATCCTCCACAATTAACATGTGTTGCTATGGTTGCACCCTCTGCTCTGAGAGTTTGGTATGTTGTGTAGAAATGAACAAAGGAGATGAATGTTATGTGTTTTTTTCAAATAATTCTTACTACTGTAGTCGTTGTTTTTCAAGGTTTTAAAATATTTTTATATGAAAGAAATTGCTTGAATGGATTTCAATGAAATAAAATATTTGTACAATGTCCGGACCCTGACCTATTGAACTGATGAAGTAAGTGAACCTCGTGCCAATTTAATTGGGGACCCCTGCTCTACAGTATTTGCTTCCGCATACTGTATAAACAAACTGTAAAAAAACGTGAAAAAGAACACACGCCTGGGCCGTCAAGAATGTATGTATGTATGTATTTGGGTGTGTATGTACAGTGCCTTGCGAAAGTATTCGGCCCCCTTGAACCTTTCAACATTTCGCCACATTTCAGGCTTCAAACATAAAGATATAAAATTTTATTTTTTTGTCATGAATCAACAACAAGTGGGACACAATCGTGAAGTGGGACGAAATTTATTGGATAATTTAAACTTTTTTAACAAATAAAAAACTGAAAAGTGGGGCGTGCAATATTATTCGGCCCCTTTACTTTCAGTGCAGCAAACTCAGTCCAGAAGTTCAGTGAGGATCTTTGAATGATCCAATGTTGTCCTAAATGACTGATGATGATAAATAGAATGCACCTGTGTGTAATCAAGTCTCCGTATAAATGCACCTGCTCTTTGATAGTCTCAGGGTTCTGTTTAAAGCGCAGAGAACCATGAAGACAAAGGAACACACCAGGCAGGTCCGAGATACTGTTGTGGAGAAGTTTAAAGCCGGATTTGGATACAAAAAGATTTCCCAAGCTTTAAACATCTCAAGGAGCACTGTGCAAGCAATTATATTGAAATGGAAGGAGTATCAGACCACTGCAAATCTACCAAGACCCGGCCGTCCCTCCAAACTTTCATCTCAAACAAGGAGAAGACTGATCAGAGATGCAGCCAAGAGGCCCATGATCACTCTGGATGAACTGCAGATAACTACAGCTGAGGTGGGAGAGTCTGTCCATAGGACAACAATCAGTCGTGCACTGCACAAATTTGGCCTTTATGGAAGAGTGGCAAGAAGAAAGCCATTTCTCAAAGATATCCATAAAAAGTCTTGTTTAAAGTTTGCCACAAGCCACCTGAGAGACACACCAAACATGTGGAAGAAGGTGCTCTGGTCAGATGAAACCAAATTCAAACTTTTTGGCCACAATGCAAAACAATATGTTTGGCGTAAAAGCAACACAGCTCATCACCCTGAACACACCATCCCCACTGTCAAACATGGTGGTGGCAGCATCATGGTTTGGGTAGCCAGGGAAGATGGCTAAAATTGATGGGAAGATGGATGCAGCCAAATACAGGACCATTCTGGAAGAAAACCTGTTGGAGTCTGCAAAAGACCTGAGACTGGGACGGAGATTTATCTTCCAACAGGACAATGATCCAAAACATAAAGCCAAATCTACAATGGAATGGTTCACAAATAGACGTATCCAGGTGTTAGAATGGCCAAGTCAAAGTCCAGACCTGAATCCAATCGAGAATCTGTGGAAAGAGCTGAAGACTGCTGTTCACAAACGCTCTCCATCCAACCTCACTGAGCTCGAGCTGTTTTGCAAGGAAGAATGGGAAAGAATTCCAGTCTCTCGATGTGCAAAACTGATAGAGACATACCCCAAGCGACTTGCAGCTGTAATTGCAGCAAAAGGTGGCGCTACAAAGTATTAGCGCAAGGGGGCCGAATAATATTGCACGCCCCACTTTTCAGTTTTTTATTTGTTAAAAAAGTTTAAATTATCCAATAAATTTCGTTCCACTTCACGATTGTGTCCCACTTGTTGTTGATTCTTGACAAAACATTTAATTTTTATATCTTTATCTTTGAAGCCTGAAATGTGGCGAAATGTTGAAAGGTTCAAGGGGGGCGAATACTTTCGCAAGGAAGTGAGTGTATATATGTATGTACGTATAGGAGAGTCCTGGCCCCTCTGAATAAATTCTGAGATGTCAGTGGGACTACAGTATCCTGGTTCAACAAATCTATATATTTCATTAAAACAAAGCAACAATATGCAAACTTTAGCACACTCGGCTTCTTCACCCGCGTCTGCTGAAGAAAACCATACACACCTTTTCAGTGATGATGCGATCCACACACTGCTTCCCCGTTAAAGGCAAAATGCATTCGTCCAATATTTTGTGTTTTCCTCCCTGGGAAGAAAAGAAAACCTTGGTTATTCAGATCGGCAGGTGAGTCACAATGTGCAGTAAACATCCTCAGGGCAATAGCCTTAAATTTAATATATCTAGGGATTTGGCGGCCTGAGTAAAGAATATGGAGGAAGACAGCAAATACAAGACATCACATTATTATATTCTTTTCTTCACTTACGGAAGTAGTTCACTTGAAAAAAGGGGGAAAGTGTGGAGTCGTGTCTGTGCGCACATACAGTAGATATAGTGATATAGTGACCAGATATAGATACAGTATAGTGTCCGAGCCACACTGTATACAGTAATACAGTGGTTTTTAATATATAATATAGTGGTCAGTAACTTGCAAAGCCATCTTTTTAACGTAACTGCAGATAAATTACACCCCCACAACAATTTGTAGGATTTTCTTTTATAAATCAATGGTTGTTTGAATAAGAGAAGTCAGGGGAAGATATCATATAGGAGACAAACACAGTGATATTTGAGAAGTGAAATAAAGTTGATATCGCATTACAAGAATATTCAAACAAATCCAAGAAAACGTTCATGCCACTATAGATGGGCAGTGTTGACTCATTAGCATAATGGTGAAGAGCTCATGGACCAAGTTTAGCTCAAATTCGCTCTGGCCCCTATTGACTAGGCATTGAAAAGTAAACTCCTCTAGCTCAGCAACCGTTTGGACTTCAAAATCCTGGTGTTTAAATCCAGTTGTGAGCCCTTGAAACTGAGCAATAACGTCCATCTCATATCTGAAATAGGCTGTAGCTAGCAAGTAGTGTGAGCAGGCACAGACTGACGCCGCTCCTAATTGGCTCTGGGTTGCTTGGTCATTGCTTCCAAAATAAATTGCATTCACTTGGCTCCACATTCCCACTCAAATAATCTGTAGGAGTTAGCCCGAATCGACTTCTGCAAAAACAAAACACTATGGTGACGTCAGCACTAGGTCAGTCCACTCTTCTACAGTCTTTAGCTAACAGTCAGAATTACTTTGAGTAAATGAGCCAAAGAGAATGACCCAGACGAGAATCTTTGTTCATACAAGTTCTATAATGTGGCCATTCTTGCACACTCGCTTCTGTCAGTGTGCCCCGGGGCAGCTGTGGCTACAGTAGTAGTTTATCACCACCGTGTATGTAGTGAAAGAATAATATCATGTGAAGCATCCGAGTGTCCTGAAAAGCGCTATATAAAACCGATGCATCATTATTATGGAGCTATTATTGTTTCAATAATATTTGTGTGTGCGTAAACAGATTTGTGTGTGCGAAAAAGATTTGTGCGTGCGTAACCAGATTTGTGTGTGTGTAAAAGACATATTTGTGCGTGTGTAAATAGATTTGTATGTACGTATCAAGATGTGTGTGTGCGTAGAAAGATTTGTGTGTGTGTAAAGAAAAAAAAAAGTTCGTTTTACACACAAGTTGTTTTTTTACACAAGAATCTTTTGACGCAGTCTTGCCTTCGCAGATTCGCAAGTGTAACTTGGACTGTGTGCGTCTGAACCCAGATTTGTGTGTGTGTAATTTGACATTTGTATCTGTAACAGAACAATCTGTGTGTAAATAACCACGTTATATGAAGAAAAGAAGGAAAAAAGCCTAAGTGCTACGCACAAGCTCCGTTTTACACACAAATCTCTTTTTGACACACCTCTGCCGCCAAGCGTGTGTCAAAAAGATTCGTAAGTGTAATGTTCTAGCAGTACACCAGCAGATGGTGCTGTTGTAGCTGGTTATTACCTACACGCAAGCAAACAAAAACCTACTGCCTTGACAAGACACACTACCGCAGCTGTTTATGATGTTTTTTTCCTATATTCAAAATCCTGTCATTCACACCACTGTATGATACATGGATCTATTATAATAACTGGTTTGGGTGTTACTAGCTTGGAGCTGAAGGATTCTCGCGTACTGCAGACTAAATTCACGTATACAGGCTACACAGACATTTTCCCCATAGAACTCAAAGTGAAATAAAACAGCTGACAGAGAACCTACAGCTTTCATAAAGGTCGGCTTTTGTTGAAATTTTAGTGTTCCTTGTCATCCTGAACTTTTCTTCTTCTTAAATCCTTCGGTTTTCTACACTTTAGTGAAACAAACTCTGCTGGTTTGCTTGCGTGTAGGTAATAACCAGCTACAACAGCACCATCTGCTGGTGTACTGCTAGAACAACCACATTACACTTAAGAATCTTTTTGACACACGCTTGGCGGCAGAGGTGTGTCAAAAAGAGATTTGTGTGTAAAACAGAGCCTGTGCGTAGCACTTAGGCTTTTTTCCGTTCTTCTCTTCGTACAACGCGGTTATTTACACACAGATTGTTCTGCTACAGATACAAATGTCAAATTACACACACACAAATCTGTTTACGCACGCACACAGTCCAAGTTACACTTGCAAATCTGCGAAGGCAGGACTGCGTCAAAAGATTCGTGTGTGTAAAACGTACCTTTTTTTTTCTTTACACACACACAAATCTTTTTACGCACACACAAATCTTGATACGTACATACAAATCTATTTACACACGCACAAATATTTATTTTACACACACACAAATCTGGTTACGCACGTACACATCTTTTTACGTACACACAAATCTGGTTCTACGTCATGGTGCTACGTCCCTTAGGACTTCGCTAGTGGGATATCACTCGTGACCCCCAGGTCACACGCCAGAGAGATCCAATCACCAGCCACCCTCCTCTATAAAGGCCCCTGCACAAAGCCGCACCCCCTCTTGAACTCTGGCGCCGATTGAGATCTACCACAGTACTCGCTTCATTCTGAGAGATGTCTTCTGTTCGTCCGAGTTCCCCTTCGCCCTCCGGCGTCGGACGTCGTCGTTGCTCGACGTGTCGAGTCAGGCTCCAGCGCACGGACCAGCACTCCAGCTGCTTCATGTGCCTGGGCCCGGACCATGCGGCGTTGAGCGCCAGCTGCGCCTCGTGTCCCCAGGGAGGAGAGCGAACGCAGGCGTGCGTTCCTCGCCGCTGCAGCGCCCCGTCCGGACTCCTCTCAGGACGAGGAGTCTGAGACTGACTGGGCCCCACTCGACCTTCCACCCGTGCCCGCGGAGTGGGGTGACTGCGAGGATGGAGAGGCTTCGGAGATCGGCTCCCTCCTCACCCTGGACGAGGTGGTCTCGAACCCGGAGCCGGACCGCTTCCCACTGGACCACATGCCTGGGCTCTACTCCTCCGCGGCGGCCATCATGGATGCTCCTCTGCCACCGCAGCCGATCCAGAGGGCGGAGGACTTCACCTCTGGGCGCGCCACCACTCGAGGAAGGAGGAGGATACAACCCACGTTGTGCCCGCGGATGGACCCGATCGTCCATTACGCGACACGTGAGTGGCCAAAGCCCCTAGCAGCCAAGAGGCCTGCTCTGGGGTACGCAGGCCCGTCCGAAGGGCTGTGCAACCTGTGCCGTCGCACAGGGCCTCGCACCACACAGGGGCCTCGCAATCTTCCTTCCTTTTATAAATACACTAGTTCAAGGATCCCCAAAGGGCAGACTGCACTCCAAATTTGGAACCCTAAACCCCTTTCTCTGGACCTCTTTGATTTCGTTTGATCAAAAGAACATTTTTACAAGTAAAGTCAAATTTTCACCAAAAGCGATTTGTAAACAGGCAGGCGCGCGGGCAGCTATGTATGCAGCGGGTCCTCCGAAAAAACTGTCAGATAACTTTAGCAGTGTCTGAGTGAGATACAAAGAAAGTAACGGGAATGATCGCAGTGTAGGAGAGATGGATACTCGCGGAGGAGGAGCAGTGAGACAGGTGTGAGCAGAGGAGCAGACCCCTTTGTGTGAGCAGAGGAGGAGGAGGAGGAGCAGCGGTGTGACAGGTGTGTGAGCGCTGCTATTGCCAATGTTTAGTCCGAATATCCACATCAAAAACATATTTTTAAAAGCACTAGCAAACACACTGTATGTCTAGCTTTAGCTAGCTGGAGTGTTTTTGTTGTGGTCAGAGTGTGTGGAGGAGGAGGTGAAGAGTATTTTGTTGTTGTCAGTGTGGAGGAGGAGGAGCGTATGTTGTCAGAGTGTGTGGACGCATGGCAAAAACGTTATTTGATGAGAAAAAAATTATAATATTGACTCCGCCTCATAGCCATTTTGGCGCATTTTGCCAAAATCTAACTATTAGAAGAAAAAGACTCCTTTTGGTTCAATCTTTTGAGTTGCTCTACCATTTTGCCACAGGACGAAAGAGACATGTCAGCTAAAAAGACCGCGACCAATATTGCAATACCAAGTGCCGTAGAGTGTGTGTGCGTGTGTACGTGCGCGCGCCAAACGCTGCATAGGAGCGAAGACACTCGGTTACACGCGTGCTGATCTCGTCAAGCACCGCGCGAGGTGGTGCTGAATTCATGTCAAAGATTATAACAGGAAAAACTTTCCTCAGATCTGGGAAAAAAGTGTCAGGGCAGGGCCTCACGTTTCGAGTTCGCACAGGGCCTCGCACCCCCCTTGCGACGGGCCTGGGGGTACGGCATGTATTGCAGCGTGCAGGACTGGTCCTGGACCGGCGGGGTCCCGGACATCGAGGATTCAGTCCGCATGGCCCTGCAGCCCTCCGCATCCGTGTGGCCCGGCACCAGACTTCTCCTTCCCTCCGAGCGGGACAGGATGTCGTGGCGATGCTGGATAGATGTTACGCCAATGCGGCACAGGCTGTCGCATTGGCGAATAACATGGCTTTCATCACGGGGGCCCTGGATAGGTCGCTCTCCTCTGGTCAGGCGCTCAGTGGAGACACCTTATCTCAGGCGAGGACCACCTCAGCGGCGATCCTGCGCATGTGCCAGGCGCTAGCTGTGGATGGCGGCCGCTCCATGGCAGCAGCCCAAGTCGGGGCCAGGCACCTTTGGCTTGGGCTAGCTAACATCAGGGAGGCGGAGAAGAGGAAGCTGCTGGACCTGCCTGTTTCCCAGACGTCCCTCTTCGGCCCGGACATGCAGGCCCTGGTGGCG